ATCAATATTCCGTCCGGTCCATCCTCTGACCCATATCTCTCTTTCCCTCTTACTTACGCGTCCTCTCCTCTTTCCCTCTTTCCTGCCCCTCCCCAGCCACCCACCCGCCCGCCCCTCCCGGCCCGCTCCGCGCGCCCCTACCGGCGCGACACCGAGTCTCCCCATTACCGCGGTAACGCGACATCCCTGCCTTTCCTTTTACCGAGACCTCTCTCCGTCCCTCTCCCGCCTCCTCCCTCTCTCGCAGCCTCTTCTCCGAGCGCCGAATTCTCGGCTGCCGATACCGCGGCTCCACCTGTTCTCCCCTGGGAGGAGACGCCATCTCGCGGATTCGATTTTCCGCCCGGTAATGGACCCGATTGCGATCGATCACCCGGATGTCGATATTTATTCATACCGTCCGTTTCTCTAAGTATACCGCTAAATGGCCGGCCTTAGGAAACAGCGGGCCTGGCTTATATCGCGCCGAGATCGTTATCGGGATTATCACTGGCCAGGGGGCGTCGCGATTTAACGCCGGTCTTGACGTCGTTAACGACGTTGACGGGGTGGACGTGTAATAGAAGCAGTCGGCGTTACATTTCAGCCGAGTTTAATACCGCGGCCTTTATGGAGCGGGCTTTGATAAGAGCCAGGCGGTATCGTAATATTACGGTCATCGGAAATCACTGGTGCCCGAGGTTCTCTTAAAACCCTCTCGGATAACCCTTGGACAAATTCGTTGAACCGGGTCATCTTTTTAATCTCTTTTAGCTTTTCTTCCCTTTTTTTAACACCTCGTTTAGATCCGCGGCCGTATCCTTCCTCGTTACGTCCGCGACGACGTCGTCGGGCTCGTCGGCTCCAACGGAAATATCCCGGGGAGCAATAATCGAAACGGCCGGTTTTTATTATACACGTACCTCCGCGCATTGCATTACGCCCGCTTTTCCGCCGTTTCGCGTATACATCGCTGGCGGACCTTCGTTAAATGACGTAAAACTGCACGGGGTAGTTGACATCGCGGATTACCGCGTGACACGCCGGGGCGCGGGAAGAGACGTACGGGTTTAATGAGCGGCAGAGTGCGGATGCAATTGCACGGCACTTTTACGCGTACTTGACCCGCTCGGGATTTTATAAATGCTAGTATTATGTACACGAGATGGTCGGGGGTATGGTGCTGGGTAATATGGACAATAGCTCGGAGATGCTCGACTCTCTGGAGATGCGAGTCGGCTGTAATATGGAATCGTGCGTGGCGATGCAGACATATTGTCGCCAATTCGGCGCGGAATTAGATTTAATTTACGTTCCTCTCTCGCGTCGGTTTATTTTTCTCGCCCCTCCTGTATTCCTACCCGAATCCTGTTTTTTTCTTATTTTTATTATAGCTTACCGACAACAATTTCGATCTCGCTTAGTTCATCAAGAAACTTGGAGTTCATTTTTCTCGTTAGAATGTAGAAGTCCTCGGTACGGTTGAATTGAATCGATTGAACGGATTGACGTTTTAATTCAGATGGAATGGTTATTCCATTTTATGCGAGTTGAACCTAATAATCGTGAAATTATTAGACATCGGAGAATGACGGAGAACATCGGTAAACTTTGGCCTTGATTTCTTTTTTTTCACATTATGTTATTTACAGTCTATCGGGAATATGAGCTTGTTGTTTTAATATGTTCAGAGGAGGTACAATCTTTAAGGCGTCAAACTTAATATTACTATTTATGCTAATAGTTTATATAAAATTATTTCTAAGGGGTGAGGGGGAGGACCTCGAGGACGAATCAAAGTTCGGTTGAGTATTTGAAAATGGAGGATGGATTCCAAGGTACACCCGAGTCTCGTTTTAATGTTCTTTTGGATCTCGATATGAAAGGAACGGATACAAGCTTACCCAACGTTATGGCTCAAAGAGGCCGATTTCATTAGCACCTTCCCATCTTAAATTCTCGTATATATCTCGAATCCTCGCGTTTGCGAGGCTTATACGAGGTAAAAATACTACCCCAGGTTCGGCTAGTGAGTGACAACGCCAAGGACGATCGCGTGGTATTATTTTTCTCCCTTCTTCCCTCGGTCGTTTCGGTCGTCTCTCTACTGGCGGCCGTCGAGACGGTTCCCCATGGCGAGCCTTAAGTGAGAACTGTATTTCGCCCCCGTGGGAGGAGGAGCGATTAGAAAAGTTTGTTCCGCGCCGGCCACCTCCGACATGTTCATCCCGAAACTCATTATCCGTTCCACGCTCCCCCTCCCTCCCGGCCCCCGAAGGACCCCTCGAGATGATTTATTTATATCGGCGAAGAGAAGCGAGCCCCCCGGAGATTCGCTCCCAGGGCCTCCCGAAGTCCGCGTTGCGTGCAAACTTCCTCGGCGGCCGAGATAAGGCGATAGCTGCTCCTCAGGATGTGGATGCTGCCCTGGGTCCGGATCGCGGGAGGAGATAACCCGCAGTGGCCGTAAGATTTATCTGGGTCAGTACGTGACTCCGGCTCGTTTAATTTGTTTTTTTTGTTTTTCTTTTTTTAATCGCTAGGAAGGGAGCGCTCCTTATCACCGCGGCCGTTGCCCCTGGCTAAGACGAGGGGGCGAGAAAAGCCGCGGATGCCGCGTTCCGGATTGCGGTCGAATGCGCAAGGATGCGACGTCGACTCGCCGCAGGAAATCCGAGCCACCGTGTTCCGTCCCCACCTCCCTTTTGCCATCTTTTCCTTCCCCTCCACTTTCCACTTCTCACGATGCCTCGTTCCCAGCGAAGCAAACTATTCCCGAAATTTGCCCGGACGCGGAGCTCCATACTTATAAAGTTCTCCGTGCCCGGTTTACATCCCTTTCCTTTTAGCATTTAGATACGTCCAAGTAAATCAAGCGATATACCGAGCGATGAGATTTGCATTTTTCGAAGATTCGTTTCCCTCGGCGAATGGAGGAGAGCGGGGCGGGCAGTCGACGGGTGGTCGTGCCTCCGTAGAAATTCCCCCGATTTCGTCGGTTTATCGCGATAACGAGATTATCTCGACGCTACCTGAGTTATTTCGGGGGTCTTCGACCCGCGGCGACCTCCGGGGTCAAGGAGGACCCGCGACTCGGAGATACGCATCGGCTCGGACGCGTCGCGGCGGAACACCGAACGGTGCGTGGAAAGTTCTTAGATTTTCCCCTAGATCTTTTGGATAAATCTCACGGCAGGGTCCGCCGTCTAGGTTGCTCGTGCGCCTGGGCGAGGAGTTTTTTTCGAGGGCAGCGCCACCTGTCGGGTCGTTTGTTCAACGACCGGCGGATAATACGCTTGTGTCTCACCTTACCTCTCGGCCGACGATGCCAAAGTGACGAAGCACGGCCGACTGGCCGACTGCCAATCCAGTCGTTACGTTACGCGCCGGTTCCCGCAATATCCCCGACGTCCCCCGCGAGCTCGTCCCTCGGCGCTGCTAATGGCGGCACTCCGAGACACTTTGATGGACCGCCGGACTCGCGCTTTTTATCGCGCGACGACACTTCCTCCGTCGGGCGGACGTGCCAAGCCCAAAGTTTACGTGAAACCTGAGTTTGATGAGTTCGGACGACGCCCGGCGCCGGGGGGAGCGTCGGAAGTCACGAGGTGGAGAAACGCGACGCGGTGTTGTTTCGGTCCGCCGTGAATTTCGTCGATTAGCCCGGCGCGTCGAGCGGAGCGCTAATGGCGACGCTCCCGGATGCTTCGGTGGGCCAGAGATTTTGTACTTTCCGTTCCGCGATGATGTTTGCTTCCCTGTAGGATCGTATCAGGCACAAGGATTATGGGGAAATTGATTTTCCTGAGATCGAATGTCGGGGGGCGGTATAAGGGGATTTGGAAGTCGCGAGGTGGATGAACGCCTTGCGGGTTTGGTACGTTAGCTCGACCTCGCTCGGCCGATGGCGCGTCGCTCTTTCCTCTTCTCTAAGTGGGGCTTCGGAATACTTTAACACGCCACGAGTCTTAGCCTTTATGGCATTAAAGCATTTTCTGTGATACTCGATCGCGCGAAGCACGCCGTTTGCGTTAAAGCCGGAGACAGTCGAGGTGCAAATTAGCGGGATTTTATTCCCGTTAAGGTTACGGAAAAGTGGCGTCAAAGAGCTCTTGTTCATGAAACTTTTCTTCAAATTGGGTGTTCGTAATCGATTTAAATTTTACAATATAAATATGGAGAGTATAAGGAAGGTCCTGAAACCCATGAAATTTCAATTTTTTACAAATTTGTTCATAGATGTTTCTAAAGTTTGTTATAAAAAATGAAATTTCATGAGTGTCGGGACCTTCCTTTTAACCTTCATGTTTACGTTGTAAAATTTGAAACGATTTGGTACACCCAGTTCGGAGAAAAGTTTCATGAACGATTGATTCTTCAGATGCGACTTTCATATCCTCTTAATCTCAAACCATTCCAATAAGCCTGTTAATTTTGTTTGTGCCTCAAACTAGATTCCAGGTTCACACAGCCTGCAACTTGTTCGTGTAACGCAGTCGCGGAATATAATTATCATCGGCTGTGTGATATCGATTATGGTACCATCTTGGAATCAGTCAAACGTTTCAGTTCTCGATTTCGGGGTTTGAAACTCTCAACCGAAGCGTGTGCTTGCATACACACGACCTTGTCGTTTCTCGTGAAATTCTAGTAAATAGCATTCACCTTGAACTCTTCACCCGTTTCTGGCTCAGACAACAGGCGATGTGAAACTTCCCGAATGATTCGCACTCATCTGGAACGTTACAAAATGTAGCGCCCAAAATGTATATTATTCAAGAGACATATGTATTTTCTTATTATCGCGTGAAATTATGCTATAACGGTCGGATATAATCCCCTGGTCGACAATCAATAATAAGTACCGCAACAATCGGGTATCGGCGAATGATCTTAAAAAAAGGAATGCATTCTTCCATAATAAATGCAGAATCTGCAGTTTTAATCTCTCCCTATTGCAGATTTACGTCAATCCCCTAGGAAATTTCTCATCGGGGAAACTTTCCTTCCATCGCATCTCGGCTTTAGCTCGAAGCGGGTCTTTCAAACTTTCCCGCCCAACTCGTCGATCTCCTCGCGCCATCTTTGGGGATTTCGGAAGTTACCCCCCCTTCAATCTCCTCACTCGCCGCGAACGTATCACGGATCCTTCGTTGCCGAAGAAGGATCCGCTCCATCGGCCGGGACGCACGACGACTTTTTCTCCGCTCCGCGGCCTATTTCCTGGGAAATTATTCAACCACCGTAAGTATCGTATTATTTCCCGGCTCGCTGCCCTCGAAACGTCGTAAAAGCGCGATTTATCTCATCGCGCGGCCGTCACGTTGCGAGTTTGCCATTTGTGCCGAGTGCCTTTTCAAAGGAGACTTCCGACCTCTGATCCTTCTCGCGGGTCCACGAAAAATTCCTCGACAGGATCCCCATCGCTTCTTGTAACTTTGCAGTAAGGACACTTCGTAGCGGACGAGCGAGTTTCCGTTCCCGTTCCCGTTCGCCATCAATCGGTCACGTCGAGATCCGCCATCTTGACTCGCCGTCTCGCTCGAGCCCGAAACCTCGTATTCCACCGAAAATAGAGAGGAAAGAGAAGAGGATTATCTCCGAACGGCAAGATGTCTCGTCCTCGACTCGGATTCGCACGATTCGGATCTTATTCCGCGCTCGAAGACCCGCGAGCGATTTCTTTCGCGAGGAAAGATCCTGGAACCCCCTGAGTGCTCCGGCACTCGGCGAACGAGGTGAGCTCGGGAACGATCCCCTTAATGCTATTTTTATGCGCCCAATTTTGCTCCTTTCACGCCCGTCGACGGTCGGTCTTCATTCGCGGGGTTAAGAACGGACCGGTTACGACCGATCGCGAGATTCGCTTGCCTTTTTCCCTTGGATGGCCTTGCTCGTCCAAAGAGGCAAGGCCGAGCTCCTGCGAGCTCGAGATCGGCGCGTTCCGGAAATACCTGGTCTATTTTCGTGCGAAAGAAGCGCCGTCTGGCGGTGCCAATAAGTACCGCGTACTTTACGTGCCCCTAACGGCACCGATCGGCTGGTGTCCGCGTTCGTTTACCTATTTATAAGTGCCGCGAGTATATCGCTTACCGATTAAAGCCTTAACACCCGCGGTCGAGCAAGGCGCTTTTGTCAAAGCCGCTATTTGTGAGGGGAATTTTTGGCCGGCGGCCCAACTCTACGGCGGTCCTTCTTCACGTTGCGAGGCATTGCGGAATTGGCCACGTGGTCATTATTTCACTCTTGTTAGAGTTTAATGCATCCCGAATATCCTAATCAGAGGTATTGCGGCTACACGTTTGGGAGGCGTTCGCGCAAATTTTCACGTATTTCTCGGTCCCCTCTCGACTGGTCGGATTTAAATACCACCTTCGGAAACGCTACAAGGCGTAATTTTCTCGTTGAACCCCCAGGTCCAGTCTCGATGATCGCCGGAGATCGATGAACGATCGTCCAGGATCGGACGGATGGAAACGGCCGGCTGTATCTCGGGCGGGCCATCGGAGCGGCATTTAGGGAGGTGGATGCGGTTCCGAGTTCCGCCGGGGAGGAAGCTGTCCGTAGGCGTTTCGGACGATTCCGGACCGGTTCCGCTCCAAGGAGGTCCGAGGCCCAACGAATAGGAAGCAAGGTTCAGCGGAATTCCCCCTTGGGAAGGGCATGGAAGTTCTTTTTAGGCTTTCCCTTGAAGCCGACCAGCGTCCAATCGCATTTCGTAGGGAACGGGCATTCGCCCCGACTAGCCGGGGATCGCGGAATCAGCGACTCTCGTCCTCGTTTTATCCAATTTTACGTCCTCGTCGTGGTTTTAACTTGTCAACGTCGTTTTTTTACCCGTCATCTTTTTAACCTGGTTAATGATTTTAGAGTCACTTTGGGTGGATTCCGCGATCCTGGGGCGAATTTCTTGCGTTCCCGGGATTTTCGATAACGGACGTTGGATAAGGCAAATCATTGGGGAGCACGTTGCAGGAAATCAGTTATGAACCCTGAGAGTCCACCGATTTTCCGATTGAACTGCTTTCGTTGATTTGCGCAGAGAATCTCTTGCTCGAGGGTCGTTTAGTACGGTGGAAAATCGTTTTAATGTGATTTGAACCGAATTTCTGGTTCTAGGTGATGTACGGTACAACTAGGAAGGAATACGATGCTTCAGGAATTAATTAATCGAGCCACTTATTAATGTTTGGGGAAATAGTATAAATAACGATAGCTGACATTCATGATTTTTTGTGTTTTGCCGATTAAGGCTTATAATTACCGGCGATGGCGAACTTCTTGAGCTCCCAGGCCATGGTTTCTATTTGCGAATTTGTGAGGCAATTTTAGGGTGCTTTTCTCAGGATGAAAAATGGGATTCGCGACGGAATCGCCAATCGTTCGATGCCTGGTGCTATGTTTGCTGTATTGATCCCTTTTCCCTTCGAGTTTTTCTTCTTCCTTTTTTTTTGGAAATGCATGTACGAACTTTTGTCGACGAACAGATTTAGTCATGTGCCGATTTTTCGTTCTTTCCGGTCTCAGACTTCGAACGACCCGATCGATTCGACGATTTCGACCGTTCCGGCGATTTTGCAACTTAGCGATTTTTTCCGTTTCATCTTCGCGCTGAAATTATTCGCAAAAAATGACGAATCGGATCGCTCTCTGAATGGACCGCGGGGAGAATTGGTGGGCCCGGATAAAATCGTGAGTCGCTGGGACAAATTCGAAGGAAGTTCGCGAATTGGCGCGACTCGGCTCCATTTTTTAAATCGCTGGTTAAAAAATAAAGTCGGCCGCGCGGATTTCGTGGATTGGCGTTCCGCAGGGATTCGTTCGACGTCGAGCACCACTTGAAGAAGAATGGCGCATACGAATTCGGATTTTCGCCAGACGAAGCTCGGTACGATGTTATTTCTTAAAATAGAAAGAAAAAGAAAGGAAAAACTCGGAAAAAGTCCCCTTGTCATATTCGACTCGGCCCGGAGGACCTCGGCGAATTCGGCGATTAATTTCCGTCGCTCGCTTGGTCCGAATTATGCCGAGCGATCGGCAGAAAATTCATCAAGCGAACCGGCGCAAAAAGTCGCCGAGCGAAGAAAAGCAAACCTTTCGCAAAAACCAAGCCCCATTATAATTAGTACATGCTCCAGAAAATAATTCATATCTACAGTTTGGTCTCGAGAGACTCGTTCATTCGAGCCCCTCGTCGGATATCGAGGAAAATAAATACAAGCTGCCCGGAATTTTGCACAGCCAGGAATTTCGCGATGTTTCTTGCTTAATAAATATTATTAAACGAGAAATGTCATTTCAACGGAGAGTTTGCTCGTTCGCAACAGTTGAAGCAACCGTTGCGAAGACTCTTTCCAGGTAATAAGAAATGGTACGACGGTTCCTCGGTTGCTTGTGGGAAATTCTCGATCAGCTGGATTTTACTTTTTCTTCGATATTCACTTACAAGCTGTATTAAAGTGGTAATTGAAAAACTCGGGAGCACCTTGCTCGATGTATCGAACCATTTGTTACGAATTAGTAGGAATTGTTTTTACGTCAAATAATGCAATCTCGAAGCAAGGCTCCATATTTCCTGGCGGGAAAAAGTTATCTCGATGAAATAGTCGATCTGTACCGAATCCGGCGACGGCGGACGTGAATCAAACTTGTGTGGCCGAGTACATACATCTCGGTACGTAACCGCAGCGAATTGAACGTGGCTCGCTGATTAACCATAGTTAGGTCGACGCGAAAATGCGAGAATGGCTGGAACGTGTCGCCATTGGAAGCCGAGCCGAATGGGAGATTTCGGTGTTCTGGGTAGCGAGTACATTTTTCCCCTTTTACCAATTTAATTTCGTGAAGAGAGCATCGCGTCGTGTGCCCTTATTCCCGATATTTTACCGGTACTATTTATCCCGACTAAAGTAAGTCTTAGAATGTCGTCTCAATTTTAAGGCAAATCGATGTCGGTTTTAATATCGGACTTTTATCGCCAACTCTGCCCGAGGAATCTCCTCTTCGGCTCGATTTCCATAACCTGCAGGTCCAGCCATTTTTTCTTCAATTTCGTTCGACTTTAATCGCAACTATCAATCCTGACTGAAAGTACGGAAATTCTCCTCTTTCTTAATTTTTTCCTTTGCGCCATCGAATTGTCCTTTCTGAGTGCCGACGGCGGAATTTAGGAAATTTTCATATCTACTGTCGGATGGATTTGAGTCTCAACTTTCCGAGCTGGAGGAAAAATTGTCAAACTCGTCGCTGTGACAAACCGAGCGATCGTCGTGCGTCTCGGCTGTAGGGCGATCCTGACCTACATTAAGTTTGTGTATCCATTATTATTTGTGTCTAGATAGTTCATATAAATGAGTAAATCGTGTGTTTCTACGTGTATGTAGTCGATAAGCAATATTTGTCCAAAGGAGGAAGGATCCGATCTGTGGCGTAAAGTTCGTGTCGATTAGTGTCGTATTTGTATTATTACCGATCGATATTATTTGCGAGTATCTTAGAAGCCTTAAGTACCTTTTTTGCTCCTCTATGGACTTAACGGTAGACTTAGGAATTTCGATCGAGGGTAATCCCGATTATCTCTTATTATTTCGATACTAAACGCGGCGATTTAATTCGTCTTCGTAGTTACATTAAATACTAACATTTTATCTCGATTATGCTTTTATTTTAAGGAGGAAGTAATACTTTAATCATCAGACGTTATCGATTAAGGATGTGGTATATAGTCAAATTCATTTAAGTTAACATTATTATTATATTGATACGGCAATTGATTTAAGTTACGTATTGAGTGTAGCGAGTAATTCCCATATATGCGATGTTTTTTTATTTTGGGATCACGAGTCTTGTATTATTATGGAGGAGCTGGAATCTCTACGATGGCAATCGCGCGAGACCCTCGTCTCGTGCATTAGTAGTAAGCTGGAAGACGTTATGGAATGTATCGTAATAAAGCAAAGAATATTGCCAGAAGCCGGGGAGCGTTATCGCTCGCGTAATACCCTTTTGCAATCCGTATCCGAGCTTCGCAAGACTCGGGATCCTCCCATCGCGACCTGATTTCGTATCTGCGTTTTCGCTCGCTTCGAAGTAACGAAAGATCGCCTCCATCTCGATTCGGTCGCGGTCCTTGGATCTTCACCTTGGGTCTCATTTTCACAAATCCCGCCGGTCGAACCGGCGGCTAGGAGTTGGCAGAGGCCCCGTAATTCGCGTTGCTTAACAAACATCAACTTGTCGCCAGGTCGTCTCGCTTACTCGACCATCCGTCACGTGGCCGAGGGATCGGCAGTCGGTGCCAGGAGTGGGTTTCTTGCTTTTTTATAAATAAGACCAAAAATAATAAATAAAGCGCAGCTCTTTGAGAAGCGGCGCTCCCCCGTGCTGGGCACTCGCGCGAGATCTCGTGAAAATTTGTTCAAATGTGAAAATGTTAAAAAAAAAAAAATTATAATTTTATAATATTTTTGTTGTTAGTGTTCATGTTTTTCTCCATGTACGCACTTGCTTCGCCTCGAGGACGCCCTAATGGCTAACCTACGCGAACTTATACACCGTTAAAAAAGAAATATTATAATTTTATAACATTTCTGTTGGAAGTGCCTTCGTGAGCCTCCTTGGCTCATGAACCAGAATAAAATTAAGTTTCGCCGCATCCGTCCATTATTTACGCTTTTCAGTAATTAACAAGGAAATTATTGCCTCTGGGGCGATCGCCCCCAACCCATTGCTACAGAGGAGACGCGTGTAAAACTGACTAGAAAATCTTAGCGTCTATTTAAAGAATTTCATGTTAGAAATTCTAGACATAGCTAAGGTAGGACTTGAGTCTCCATGTAAGACAATTTTTTCTGTTTGACGCCAAGCTCAGATCTAGTTAGGACGTAATTTTACTTCTAAAACAATGTTATCGAAGTTTTCTCCGACAACGTACGCTAGGGCCTATTTAAAATTTAATTATGCATGAATGTATTATTGTTTTTATTTTTTTTTATTTTACATTACATTTTTTATTTTATTTTTTTTTATTTTACATTACATTTTTTATTTTATTTTTTTTTATTTTACATTACATTTTTTATTTTATTTATTCTACATTATATATCTTTGTCGGATTCTTCTTTTAATCGTCCAACCGAGGACATCTTAGTTCGGTCTATATCGAATCCCCTGCATAGAGAAACGTGATATCCCCTGCTCTAGATTGGTAAAGGGGTATTTTAGCTAGCAGGCATATACTCTGTGAGCTTCTTTTACTGGTATTAGTATTTTTCCACCTCTTTGTATAGTACTTATTTCCACGGCCTTAATGGTATTCACAAACCCGGTAGAATCTCCGCTAAAAGTAATTAGCCGGTTTAATTAAAGGCGGATTAACATTTGCGGAGTCCTCGTCGCAGCGGCGGAAATCGGGAAACAGCACTAAAATCCGGGGAAAATAGTCAACATTATCTAGGAATAATCAGTAAATAATACGCTGAAGAAAGAAAAAACGTGACTCATTAAACAAAATCGTTCGATTGGCTGTGTTTGGTTCATTCTAGAAAGAATTTTGATGGAGAGAACCGAGTTTCATTTCACTTAATCAATACTCGTTTGCTTATGTTAATTAAAGTGTTCAGTTAAATCGCTTTGTTAATTTTAGAAAATATTTTCATCAATAAACGAAATATTTTAGTTAAATGTCCCAAACTTCTTTAGTATTTGGGGTGATCAACCAAAAGTTGATCAAAGAATTTTGTCATGTCACCCAGATATTCCATATGATAACTACACGGTAGAATTAATACACATTTTATTCATTCGACTAAATAGTTTTTCTGCGCTAATGGAACTGCCCAGAAGTTTAGAACCTAGAATTCCGGGGACTCGTATGTTTCCGTTGTTTATATATGTTCGTAGAGTCGCCTTGTTTTCATTTTTGTCCTCGCCCTGTCTTCGTGGTCTTGTAACTGTGGAATTTGGATTCCATTGCGTATTTACCCAAAGTTGGTACGAATCACAAACGGGCTGGTCTCGCAGTACTCGCGAGGCAGTCGAAGGGCAAACAACCGTGAAATGCGAGTCTTGCTCTCTTAGTACCGACTCTGCATTCCACCATCTGTCCGAAAAATGTTTCCTTGCCCTCTTTATACGACTCCACATCCAAGGTGCATCACTCCATTATCAAGGGTAAGTAAATGAAAATCGTGTTATCTAATTATCAGTAAAATGAGAGAAGAAGTTCCTAATAATTCACGGAATTCCTATTATTGCTAAGACTGGAATGCGAGAGCTCTCTGTGTCTCTGGTTATTTAAAGTAATTTTCAAGTAATTACATATCCTGAATTAATTTCTTTTATTATTTTTTTTTCATTTTTACGGCTTAAAATTGTCCCTATTTTTTAGAGATCTAACGAGGAGATGTCTCGTCTTTGCCCGGACGACGAGGTCTTAGATAAAATCTTGGAGAAGGAGTTGTCCCACATAAGCATGCTCGATATTGAGCAAACAATATCAACGAAAGATGTAAGTATTGTGAATAAAAAAGGATGTTGAATCAGAGAATGTATGTTCATTCGTTATCCAACCGATATAAAGTTTTCAAGTTAGAGCCTTCTCTCGTGTTTTTTAAATATCGTCGATAGTGTAAGATTTTGAAAGCTCTTCCTCCAGGAAAGCTAAAAAACCTGAGCCCTGAATTTGTTGGAATCAAGGGCTCCTATAAATCGCAGATCGTGCATTATTTGTGGCGAGGTTGAGCCGAGCGAAATAAAATCTTTATATATCACTCGAAGGAACCGACCGACGTGGACGTCGGGAACGCAGAATTGGAATCAAGCTTCCGAGATGTGTCCGACGTCGTGATTCTTCTGATGAAGACCAACATGAACAAGAAGGCGAAAGAGAAGACGAAGCCCCATGTCCTGTCAGCGGACTCCGACGAGCAGATCCTCAAGGAAATCATAGATAACAGCTTCGGAGACATGGTCTCCCCGGCTCAGAAAAGGAAGGTCCATCGGAGCTACTGCGAGGTCTTGGAGGGTGCCAAGAGAAAGATATTCAACCAAGAAAGTCCAAAACGTAGTAGCCAATTGTCTACGTTGAATCCCTTGTGGGACCAAACCTACGAGTACAAATCCGAAGTTAAGTTCTTCGTGGGTTCGTATCAGGACATCGAAATGATGCCAATTACTTGGCAGACCAGTCCAGAGTCGAATGCTTCCCCACCTCCACGATTAGAAAAGTCCGAGTTGTTGGTCTTCATAGATCCGCATGGCAAACATTCCGAGACGGAGAAGGTGTACAAATCCGAAACTAAGTTCTTCGTGGATTCTAATCAGAACATCGATATGCATAAACTTTCGTCGTACAGCAGCTTAAGACCCGACGAGGACGTCGTATTATACGATTCCTTCGTCACGGCGTTGGGATCGCCCAGGGTGAGATGTGCGACCATAGACCTCGTCTCACCCGACATGGAAACGATAGACACAGCATCCTCCTCGTCGGAGGATCAGGACGTTTTTGAAGAAGCGGCTTCTGGTTATTTGACGGTCGAGTCGCAGCGAAGAATCTCGTCCCCGGCATACGGCAGGAGGAAGAGCTTGGAGCCCAGAAAAAATATATCCGATGATAAGACGTTCGTCCTGCTCTCGGATAAGAAGAAGAAGAAGAACTGGGTCGATTTCGCTATGTCCCCTGTTAGCATTACAGTGACCCGGTGGCCGAAGAACCGGCCGATAGAACGATCTACCGAAAGGCAGATCCCAGGTAATTGAGAAAAAAAATCTTTAAGAGGTTTTAAGGGATGGTGAAGCAACGGTGCCCTCGTACTAGTTTTACCTGAATGCTCGTTGCAGCGCGCACGAGTCTACAAATAATTAACATATTTATACATCTTGTTCGCTGTTAAAAATATTCGTAATATCCATGCACTTTTAGTACATGGCTGCAGTAGAATTATACATTTAGTGTCCTGAAAGTGAATTAGTATATGTTTATTAGAAATTTCTAAATAAGTGTATAATTTAACATCATGTTATAAATGGAAGTACATGGGAAATTAATACACTGTCACACATTTTATGATCTTTTTGGCAAAGATATTTTTATTTTAGTGACGATAGTTATGATATAAAGTGAGTTATATATTTTTTTTAACAGTGTAGATGACAAGTCCCTGCGTCGGTATTATATACATTTCTTTTTTATATCGAAAATGTGCAGATAATGTTAGTGAATTTAACTAGAAGTTACAATATGTGTACCTGGTTTACTCGATTTGCTGGGTTTTCATTTCAACCGGTGTTGAATAAGAGGAAGTTAGTCTGTTCGTTGATTCTAGCGGATTACGCGAAAAAAAATGGTTGCGATCTTACGGGGAATTTCATTCCTCCTTGGGGAAGTGAAATATAAAAGATGTATAAGAAAGAGGGCTTGCAGGGCGAGCGGTCGTTACGCTTCTCTCGGGTTGCCTCTTCCTCGCTTTCGAGCAGGAACTTTTTTATTCCTTCGGTCGGATGGAATTTTTTTTCTTCCATGGCGCTGGGTGGAAAGCGTTAACGATTTAGATATCTACGGTTTGGAGTTAACGGGGATATTTCATCTTGCAGATGTGCCGTTTCCACCGTCGCACAAGTTGACCGTAGGAGAGGTCTTCGATGCGCGGACGGGGCAGCCGAGACCGGAAGTCCTGAAGCAGCACTTCATCCTCGAGGGCAGGATCGACGAGGAGGCTGCCCTCCTCATCGTCAAAACTGGAGCTACCCTCCTTCGATCCGAGAAAACGATGATCGACATTGAAGCTCCCGTCACCGGTAAGTCCGACCAACGACGAATTCCCTTTCCTGGGATGTCGAGAAACGTTCGTTTTTCTCCCCCCTTTCGAAATCATCTTTTTTTTTTCCAAACTTAAATTTTTCCCACCGAGAAATCCTTTCAAAAGCACGAATTTTCGGAAGGCGTGGGGAACTGCCGTTGTCCAGAAATTTGAAATGAAAAAAAAAAAAGAAAATGTGAAAAAATTGACGATACCTGCGAAATGTAATTGTTTCGAATTTTGATATTCGTTAGGATAAAGCACGATGCAAAGGCGTGCTTCTACGTGGGTCTTATTTTTGACTCGTTCCCCGCCTTCCGTGCCGCAGCAATTTGCTTACAAGTATCACGACAAAGTAATTATGTTTTAAAAGTTGAAGAGTGCTTGAACATTCGGCAAAATTGCGGTTACGTTTTGGAAGTGTGATATGATTGGCTCTAAGGGGCGGCGCGGTAGCACCCCTTGTTCCCTTTTGAATCGTGGGATGAAGGTTGATTTTTTCCTGCCATTTTATATATAAAAGCCCTATACGGCTTTCGTTCAATGTCTTCCCGTTTGTCGGGTGGTTCGGAAAGTTCTGTTCAAAAATTCGACTCGAAAAAGCTCGTTCTTCTCGATACCCAGAGGGTCCAGAGCCGGCCTCGAGTGCCATCCCCTTCGGGCGGCGATTCCAAAGAGTGGCAAGGTGCCCTGACTTCCGGTCGGACTTTGGCGACGAATCCGGCGAATTCCGACGTCTCGAGGGGGACATTGGAGAGACGAAATCGATAAATCGCGAGCGAACATTTAACTCGGTCGTGGCTCACTCGGTCTTCCGGTCTCGTCGTAGACATCCCTCCCTCCGAGCAGCCCCTCTCGCCCCCCGAGACTGGGTGCTTCCGGTATCGATTCGCTTCCGCCCTCCAGCGTCGCGACGCCTCGGCCCGCCCCGGACGCGACCGCGGCGTCGTCTCCAGGGTGGCCAACTTGCCCCGTTAATCGCCAATTGGCTCGCAACAAACTTCATTTAGACTTCTCTGTCCTCCTAAGTTGCAATAGATTTCGGAAAACGACGATTTTTCCCGCTCCTCCGCGATTTCAGCAACTTCGCGAAGCGGAATTCCTAGAGAATCCAAATTGTCTCGCGACCACTCTTTCTTTCTTTATTTTATTTTATTTTTTTTTTAATGGAATTATCTGCAAAAAAATACGATATTTGAAAGTGTTACCTCCGAGTGGCGAGGTTTTTGCACCTCTTATTTATCTCAGAGATTTTCTTCAAAGAGATTGGCGACACTTGCGACCTCGCAAATTGGTAGCCCTGGTAGTTTCTTGTCTAGGTTATATCGTCGGTGCACGCGGTTATTACTTTCCGCGGTTACGCGCCGCCACGGTCTACATCTTTCGTTAGAAAAATTAACGGCCCGTGTCGCATCTAAACTCGCGGAAATAATTCGCTGCTACCCGAGGGGCTCCTTTGGAGATCGTTCAATGCGACTTCTGCTGCTGGTTCACTCGGTGGAATAAATGTAACGAGGTATAAATAGGGTGCTCTCGAAAGCGGGTTATATTGGATTGGCCTCAGAGGTATTGGATTTTTTTTTTTTTACGGCGGGAAATGTAAAATAATTGATAAAATTAGACGTTCGCTTTTTCATGCCATTTTACAAAGTTTGATTTCTCGCAAGAAAACATTCTTTCCTTCACTGATTATGTATGCCTGTATTAAATTAATGACGACTTATTAAATAATGCAGGTGTAATACGAAACCGTTGTTGTCAGTGGTTTCTACTTTATTCGTTCGTATAATAGTTACTCTCAATTATATGTAATTAGATCACGGAATCGAGTTCTGGTACGAGAATAAAAGGACGTCTCCCGCCCTATAAAAAATTCCCGTAATGTATCTATTATACATCCCCTTCGGAATCACCCTATTTTTATCTCGAATACTTCATTTTCCAAAAGGGTGAATAATGAGGTTCAAAGCGTTCCTCGGGTTATAAATGGGAAAACTTCTCGATTTTAATTTCTTTTTCATGTCGAGGCCATTTTGTGCACCATTTGTACGTTTCTGTTATCGTGAATTTATATTAGCTGCTTGGAAGTACTCTTTTCGCGGTAAAGTTTGGAGCAAATTGCGTTCAAGAAGCTAGATTCAGCGGAATTGTTTAGGAAAATTCAAGGAATTTTCTTCTGACCTCGCGTCTAAGTAAATATAAATAATGTTCAGGGGTTGGGCGGGTAAAGGCTGAGTCCACGGATTTCCGTAATCGGTTCATAGGGCTTGTGTGTAACGAAAGTTCATATATACATGCACGCGCGGAGAACACCGAGCGTAGGTATCCTTTATACACGGGATTCTGTACCCCGGGGTACAAAATTACACATACCGGTGCTTCCTTCTCCGTTCCTGCATGCACTTCCTTCGCGGAATTTGCATCACTACTGGTAACCCAACCTGCAACCTTCCGCAGCCCCGCGTTGGATTTCTAAATCTTGCTAAGATACATTGTAAAGTAACGCGTCATTTTAATGATAATTAATTTAGCAGTTTAATGAACAGTCGAGTTGGTGTCTTATCAGGAACTACCAAATGATTCCCAGGAATCCGCACGAAAAAAAAAAACATCAAAGCGACTCCTCTTTGACGCCTTACGTTCCCGTCGTTGTTAAAAGGGCCGCGAAATTGGTGCAACATTGGGGAAAATTCAAAATCTCGCTAAAATACATTGTAAGGTAACACGTCATTACAATGATAATTAATTTAGCAGTTTAATGAACAGTCGAGTTGGTGTCTCATCAGGGACTACCAAATGATTCCCGGGAATCCGCAGGAAAGAAAAGAAAACATCAAAGCGACTCCTCTTTGAGGCCTTACGTTCCCGTCGTTGTTAAAAGGGCCCTGAAATTGGTGCAACATTGAGGAAAATTCAAAACGAGATCTCGTCGGACGCGGTTGCCGGCGGGAAAGCGCCGCTGGTTTCCCTTAGATCGCGAAAACGAAGAGTCATTAAATTACGCGAGAGAATTTCCCCGGCAAACCGCATTACGGAAGATGGAGGGAAGAATTCATGAAATTGCAAAGACCGTCCCTTGCCACGCGGCTTCGTTTTCGACTCGAGTCATTAAGGAGACGTGAAAGTGGCATCTTAGGGTTCAATCGTTCATGAAACTTTTCTCCGGGTTGGGTGTATGAATATCTCTCCAATTTTACCACACGAATAAGGAGATCCTTAGGTAGGTCCTGAGACTCGCGAAATTTCATTTGTTATTAAAATTGTTGAAAACAGCTATAAACAAATTATGTTAAAATTGAAATTTCACAGGTTTCAGGACTTTTTTTTTAGCCTCCATATTCACATTGTCAAGTTAGAGACGATTCGATACACCCAGTTCGGAGAAAAGTTTCATAAACGATACCTCTTTGACGCCACTTTCACATCACCTTAAGGACTTTTATCTCTTTAAACCTCTCAAACTAGGGGAACATTTATATACCGCATTGAGTGTCTGAAAACCACTACGACACTTTGCAATTTTCTTCGAACAAAAAAGAATCTGTATGGAACTTCTGTAGATGAGATGTTGGGAGAAAAATGTTGATTCTTGGCAAAAAATGTGAGCGTAAAGAAATGTCTGTAGTGAACACAGTTTCAATTGTGTAGCAAGATCTCTACGTAAGGAGCTAAGTAATTTAAAGACATATATTTTGTTAAAGGGAAGCGAAAGGGGTAAGAAATGTGATGAAACTTTTTTCTTTACGATCGAGTCCATAAAATATAAGAATGCTCGAAGTCTATCATTAATCTAGAGTCATCAAACAAGTATCCTAGTTTTCACGTGTATGTCTTGCCTGTATGCGTGTATCTTCGTACCCAATTATCCACGAATTCTCACAGATGTGATAAAAAATGAGTGTACGAGAGATTCCGAATTTCAGTACAGATGCGTGCCCTATTGTATTCATATAACGAAATCATGAACACAAATGCTTACGAGACTTGGAATTAGTGTACCTTATGTGGCTGTATCTCTGACAGAGGTTTTTAAAAGTGAGTGTAATTAAATGCACGACTATTCCTCGGTGATATTTTTTTCCTGGGAATTCTCTTGAAATTGAATAAAAAAAAGAAAGATCGTCAGGTTGTCTGTTTTGACCGACACGTAGCTCGCGAGGTGGAGGCCGCGGTCTCTCGGCGCGAGGTGGAGGCCGCGACGCCCGGCGTCGGCGCACCGGGATGCGCGTCGGCGCGTCGGCCCGCGAGCGCCGCGGGTCCTAAGAGGCACAATGGGACGCCGCCTGGAAACTGGGTCGCCTGCCGAGCGCTCGTCTCCCTCGAGCGGCCCGACTTACGCGGAATGGAAACTAAACACTTTAGGGCGGCGAGCTGCTCCGATATTTTCGGAAATATCTCGGCCTCCGCGGCACGTCGCGCTGACGAGAACGAGGCGCCGCGGTGGAACCTTTCGAGATATATATATTTTTTTATTTATTTCCTCTCCCACGGATGTTCATTTTATCGAGTCGCCGACCTTAATAGATCGTTCTCCGGAAGTCCGGATAATGGAATCTCGGTTTCGGGGGAAATTGATGTATGGCATGATGGATTACGGGATCGAATTTATAGAGGTCGGGAAGGAAAGGGGGAGTGCATTAGGGTGGGCAAGATTTTGGAAAATAATCTCCGCGGGAGCCGGGAGGTACGGAAGAGGGCGATCTTGCCGGGGAAGAACGCGCGAGATGAGGAAGTCGGAAAAGAGAAGAATGTCGCGACGGGATTATCCGAACGTGCCGACCGATCGATCGATAAAGCCACGGAATTCGGAATTTCTTGGCACCGATCCATGAGCGGGGCATCGACGTCGGTAATTGGGGATAAGCGATTGGCTAATTACGGGAGAGGAGTACGGTCCCTTCGAGAGGCGCGGGAGATCAAGAGGGCACGTAGAAAATTGAGAATTGGCAAGGAGTCACGTAACGAGACGCTCCTCTGTATTTGCAAGGGAGGGTAGGG